AAGTTTTAATGTTCCTTTCTCTAAAAACTAGAAAATATAATAAATTAATTGGAATGAAGTATAATATCGTAACGATAACACAAAATTAAAGTTATCAAAATTATTCTTATTTCCTTTAATTGTTGTTATTATCAAAATTATTCTTATTTCCTTTAATTGTTGTTGTTATCAAAATTATTCTTATTTCCTTTAATTGTTGTTGTTATCAAAATTATTCTTATTTCCTTTAATTGTTGTTGTTATCAAAATTATTCTTATTTCCTTTAATTGTTGTTGTTATCAAAATTATTCTTATTTCCTTTAATTGTTGTTGTTATTTCCCAAAATGGTAAAAGAAGTAATGCTTCTTTGTTTTTTGCGACATCTTGAAATGTGTTCAGCTCCTCCTAGGTTAGTAACCTGTAGTTTAGAAAGCGTGGTCTCGTAAATTACATTTATCTGTCCCTTAATCGCTAGGGTTTGAAACCTAAATATATTCTCGTTGAAAAATGTGGATTTTGGATCACTGTTTGCAAAACTTTGATTTTAGTTTTAAAAACATAAAAATGAAATGGATAAATATTTTTGTACTTCCTTGTAATTACAGTAATTAGTACAAATCATTTCTAAGCGTAAACACGTGCTTAGCCTCATTTGTCTTAGTCAATAGAAACGTAATATTTTAATAAGTAGGACTTCTCCAAGGTCAATTAAATGAACAATGGAATGTTTGCTTTAAACGACACCATCTTGCTAACTTTGTTAACAGAGTATGTAACTAACAATATGAAGTGATCTCCGTTATTTCTTATTGTTTTATTTGTTGTACTTTTAATTGTTGGTATAAATAAATGCAACAAATAATGTGATAAATTATCAGTTCCTGGAATATGCGTAAATGCCGTAATTTTATCTGTCGCGCCAGGTTTTGTTATATATTTTTTACTGAAGGCGCCATCTATTAGAACTTAATTGCTTTAAGTCCTGATTTGTTAATTTATTTTTCAATCGCAGCCTAAGCATTAGGTTTTTTTCAGTTAATACTGCTCATTGAACACCAGTCTGGTTCTGATATATTGGTATGTTAAATATTTAATATTAGAAAATGTTCATCAATCAATTGATTATATAGTAATCTTTTTTAAAACAACGACTTATAATCTATGTTTTAAAACATTCAACATACAAGTACTTGTGGCCGTTAATACGTTAACGGAAGAACCAGACTGGTGATAAGTCGTTCAGTAGCAGCAGCTTTTAGTTGTATTCACCTATCTCTATATGATTTCCATCCAGTACTGCGCATGTTCAGTGGCTATAGCGAGATCTGCTGTGTATGGGCCCCAGAGTTGTGGACAAACGAGCACGTGGGATGGGAGGTGGTTGTAAGGTGAGCAATCATAGTTGATTTATTATACCCAGGACCGCGGCGTGAACTCTTTTGCAATGGCCCCCAGCAGCAACTGAAACTACTTGATTGCTAGGTTAGGGTTTGAAATCCGAAATATGCAATTCGCTTGAGATGCGGAAGTAAACCGTGGGTGGGAGTACCAACGCCTTTTCTTTTCCGTTTATTTGTTCCTACTTCCAGGCCACATAAAGGAAATGTCTAATAACGCCATAACTTATTAATTTCTTATTCAATACGAAGCCAACAACACAAAAACAGAAAAAACAAACAAAAGTGGCTCAGTGGTAAGTGGTTTACACGCTAAAAATCAGGGTTCGATACCGATGGTGGGCATAGCGTAGATAGCTCTTTGTGTAATGTCAAACTGCTAATAGGGTACTCCTGAAATAGTACTCTGTAAGCTATGATTTAATGATTACAAGTTTAGAAGACTCATAGTATCAAGTACCGACCACGTGCTGATGACCTAGTAATAAAAATGTTAATCGTGTCTTGTACTGGTTTACACACTCACGAAGGAAAAATAAATATTACGAAATAATCCAAATTAGTCACGCCAAATTAGAACTCTAAGTTAACTGATCTTCTTATCAGATTTACCAGTCATGTTGATGCCAGGAAATACACATTAATTACATGGTCATGCTAGATCTCTAGAATATTGAATTAAAGAGATGTAGAGATATTCAAATAAGAGGTTGAATACGAGTCTTACCACATCCTTACAGCCCACTTCACTACGTCTGATCGTACTCTATCTGACGACACGACCGTGCATCTTGACAATAGGCCTGCAGTGTAGTTTCAATTGTAAAAAGCCCCGTCTTAAGGCTGTCATGTCCAAAACATACCAGTACTTCGTAATTATTTTCCATAATACATCCGCTGTAAAACAAAAAAACAAAAACAAAAACGACGGTTCTCGGTGTTTGTTTCAACAGTCCGATTACAAAGAGATTCATAGGATTTCGTATGGAATATCATGCATACCCGTTGCTTGAGGTACACGATGGTTGAACAGATATGTCATGTAGGAAACTTTTGTGCGTACGACTTTTGCCAGTTTTCCAAATGGAGATCCTTCTTGATTATGTTTCGTAGTGTATTTTCATCTGTTACAAGATACCGCACAATGCTTACTACAGCTGAGGTACAGATTGTTGTAGGTCTCTTTCTGGATGGTCCTGGGTTCCCACGTTGATCCATAATCCTTTGTTTCCAATGCCATTAAGTTTAATGGATATCTTCATCGTGAAAATTGAGGATTATCGATCTGAATACAAATTTGTGATCTTAGTAGTGTGTATGTTTCATTTTAAAGGGTTGTTACATATCCTTCCCAAATACGAGACATTTTCAGTAGCATTACGCTACCTACAAAACACCATACCATGAAACAATGTAGTTCTGATGCATACCGTTCCACTGTAAATTTATATTGGCTATGATTGTCACGTGGTTTACTGATTTGTATATTCAAAAATACTTTTAATTCAACGAACTCAACTCTCTGTATACAAGCGTTTTCAAACCATAAATCATGATTTTTAAGAAAATGGCTTCTTGTTGAGTATAATTAGAATTCTTACATATACCTATCATTGTTTCTTCCACATCATTAAATTATTTTGCTCGTCAAGAAACTACATACTAAAAGAGAGTTTTAGTATGACTTGTGTATGTATGTATATAGAGCCCGTCAGAGGGTGGGGGAAGGGAAGGACAGAATGAATAAGAAAGGTAAACCACACACACACACAGTTTGGTAGTATCTTATACGTGATTAAAAGAAAAAGAAATACGCCTCTCACGATAACTGAAGTAAATATTGTATCATTCATCAGAGCCTGAAGAACTGATAGATCTACACTCTTTTTCAATGTGATGTTTTACAGTTTACCGAAACGTAAGCTCCCACCACCACTATAACCAACCTCATCTTCAATCCCATTACTAATCCTTCTTTCATCCCTTTACCTCTTTGAACTTTTTTCTGCGCAGTTATGAGCATGTAAAGCAACTTTATCAAAAAAAATCAATGCACGAAAAAGAATCATTTAATGATAAATTTACACGAAATCTTTACGAGATTTATTGGCAGCAAAAGAGTCAAGGATATCGTCAAAATGACCCAACCCCCCCTACACACACAAGCCGCTTATCGGCCAAAGTTTTACTACAATGTTTCTTTCTTTCAAAATTTACTTTTCCTAATTTAATTCTATTGGTTTTACCTATGTCTCTTTCTCACTTCACCCTCACCCTTATCCCACCACCACTACTATGGCGCTAGGGCCCGAAATTTCTCTAACGGGTCCCTCGTATATATTAAACCTTTCGTCCATACTTTGGCTCAGACTAATGTAATTACAATGAATTACCGAAGTAGGGATACGGTGTTTGTAGTTTTGACTTTCTTGTTTCAATAAAATTTGTGCATTAAAACGTTTTATAGGACTATAGATAGCTAGGTTACATATATATCGATCCCTACATGTCTTTATAATTTTTTTTTTTTTGTTATACTTCGTATTCTTATTATTAGCCATATTTTTGTACACCAGCAATACCAAGCTGGTATACCCAATTTGATTTTATTACTCATCAGGATCTCTACCAACCTTCCCTGAGATATAATTATCTACCCAAAGTAGCCCATCGTCCGTTTCGTATTTCGGTCTGTCTCTCTATCTATGGAAAAGTCACTTACTTAGATGAAATACTGAAATATCCAATAGTTTTTTCGGTTATGTATACTTTAAATTATTCTGCGTTTCTTTCACCAAGTGTAGTTTCCTAGTTTTTTTTTGTCAAAAGGTGATAAACGTGGTTTCAGTAACATGACTTTGTTTTCTTGTTGTTTCTTCCCCTAAGGTGATATAGCTGTGTGTGTGTTAATAAAGATGATCCCTAATTTTAACTGATAGCTAGATGAAATGTATCCACTACAGTCAATAGGAACCACTGATAACTCTTGGGCTACTGTAATGGAATAGTGGAATTTAACCAAAACACCCTACAATTCACACTTTTGGGCTTACAATCACATAAAGGGGAAAAACATTCGTACTCTTATGGGCCTATATAGAGCTACTGTTTGATTGGATTTTTAGCCGCGGCACAACGGCTCATTGAACAGTTCCGAGTTTTTCAAGTACTAACTTTTAGCTCGTGGCTCGTCATCTCTTGACCGACTTGAGATGTAATTACAGTTTTGAACTCAGGAGGTCAAACCCTTTCGATTGATGTATTTGACCACGCCCAAGGTATCATAGTATTAATTTACTCTAATGTTGCCTAAAATAATTTCAATTTGAGGATAGACTGGTAGAGATCCTGATGAGTAATAAAATCTAATCGGGTATACGCGCACCCCACCCTTGGTATTGCTAGCGCACATAAATATAGCTAGTAAAAGGGGGGGGGGAGGTCTTATAAATTAATTTACTCTAATCCTGTCTAAAAGAATTTCAAGGGCCCCGGCTATTGAAGATTCCCTACTGTTTATTTGTATTTTACTACTTGTAAAAATAAATAAGTAACCTATAAGATTAAAACGATAAAGATGTAATTATGCTTCCATTAACTCGTTCCTCTTTTCTTCGTTCAGCCATGTTGGTGTATAGAATATTTTTCTGTTGTAAGAAGATATATAACAAAGTTCTTCACACCATCGTTTTCGTCTTGGCTATCTCGGCCATCACCATCGGCATGATGTCTGCCATCCAAGCTCACAACAATAGTCCAGAACCTAAACACTTCTACAGCCTTCATTCTTGGATCGGACTAGCCACGATGGGACTTTATGCCCTTCAGGTAAGAATTGCTTGAAAAAAAAAGTTTCTAAATGTAACTCGGTATAACTGTATTTTATCGACCTCGGTTTGAGAACATGCAAGATAACCACTATTCGACCAAAGTGTTTCCACAGTTCCTATCGAAGTGCTCTGCCCACCACGGGTATCGAAACCCGATTTCTAGCGTTGTAAGTCCGCAGACATACCGTTGTGCCACTGGGGGGGGGGGGAAATATTTAGATAGTTTCAATGCAACTGTCCACGACTACGTGTGTGTGTTTATAACGACGACTATGGTTCTTTAAGTACTGTTGAAAGGTGAAGACAGTTTACATTTTTTGTAGCACTAATGATCGGTTTTTAATACATCACATACAAATACATCCACGTGAATCACAAACCCAGTCTTGACTATACGTCGTTTTGACTGTTTTCTTAAGCGGAAAAGCCTGCGTGGAAAATTTAGTATTATTTTACGATTGCCACACCTTGAATAGTTTGTTAGCTTCCTACTATTCCGTGGATAATGAATGGAAAAACTTTTTTTAATTCGTGAAAGATACTTGTTATCTTATTTTGCTTTTTAAAGAGGTTATGAAGACTGCCACCTGGCGGATTGTTTAAACAATTGGTAACGAGTACTGTTTTTGGGGTTTTCTCACTGATGTATTCTTTACTTGTACACTAAGTGGTCACAAGTAAATAGACACCTAATGTTTCGTCATTTAATTGATTTATGCTAACTAATTTGTGTTCACAGAGCACTATATAAATGAAAATGGTCCGCACACTAATTATCTTGTGCTACAACATGCCTAGAACTCAAGGTTCTCTCGAATTGTCAGATTTTGTTAGAGGAAGGATAGTTGGTCAAGCAGATGGTGGAATAAGTCAGCGGCAAATTTCGCAGAATTTGGGAATCCTGCTTTCGACAGTCAACAGAATCACCGTGCAGTTCAGGAAACACGGCAAGGAAACAACTGAGGCAGCGTCCGGGTCGTCCTGGTCCATCGGAGAGGATAAAAAGGGCTGTCAAGAGGAGCATCGGAATGGATCCCAAATTAACGACTGCAGAAGTGGCCAAAGTTGGTGGGATGAGCCCGAAATCTGTTCAACGGATTCTCCACAGATTGGGTTATCTTTGCAGAGCAGCTAGACGGAAGCCCTTATTAAGATCTGCCAACATAGTCAGACGAAAGAAGTGGGCAAGTGATATGATGACCAAGCCTCTGGACTTTTGACCGACCGTATTGTTCTCAGACGAATCAAGATTCGCTCAATTTTCGGACAGTGGAAGGATATAGGTCTGGAAAATGACTCACTAAAAGTCTTGGCT